AGAGAAGGTCTGGTGACTCTGTCAGTCAGAGACTCTCTCAGGACTGGTCAAATTGCCCCAGCATAGTGCAACATTGGAATGGCAACAAGTTCACACAAGATGATTAGATACTATAGACACACGAGTAAAAGCTCAACAACAAGTAAAACAACAATGCCACCGAAAGTCGGTGCATGAAAAATACTACACTACCTGTTACAGGTGAGGGTCTGTCTGCAAGACAAACTTTTAAACAGAGGTTTCAGCATTGTAGTGTTTTTTTTTACTAACCCAGCTCATATACTGCATTTATGCTGCCACACTGGGCACACCATCAATGGTCTGTGTGATGTGCATAAATATTATATATATATATATTATACTATTACACAGCAATACAAAATAATCGTATGCACTCCATTGTTCAGATACAAGTACAATTGAAGTTATTTGTTCTTATCGGCCTTTTGTCTCCATTGTTGAATCAATGGTTCAACTTCTGTCTCCACTGCAAATACTTTGCTTTCATCAGTCTCTCTTTGTATCAATTTCCAGTATATCTCCACATAGTCACCAGTCTCAGGGCAGCTCTTCTGGTCACTGGGAACTCGTGCTTTAGACATGAGGTCTGCTGCCCAAGGATGCTCAATACCACCATAGCTATGAATCTTCCTTTGAGTATCCATTATGTATTCTCGTTCTTGTTCCTCCTTTCCAACTTGCTGGCAAAGCAGGGCTCTGCGGTAAGACACCTTAGCTGAGAGAAAGTGATTGTTGTACGACATGCGATCTAGTCTTTGCTGGGCACACTCCAATATTTCTAAAGCTCCATGAGCATCGGTGAACTGCTTGCAACTTGCATAGTAGAGTTGTGTTTCGATTGTCAGCAAGTGTTTTGGACCTACACTTTCTTCATACTGCAGTATAGCAGATTGTAGGCATTTTTCAGCCTCTTCATACATCTTTTTCTGCATACAATGAAAACCCCTCAGAGCAGTTTCAAACGCAGGCCAGGAGATGTGATTTCTGGTGAGGTAGGTATTGACAACTGTTGCTAGGAGATGCACGGTTGGTATGGTGGAGACTGATGCCTCATCTTCTAGCAAGCCCAGCACCGGTGACAAAAGCTGCAAAAACATTAAGTGTCTAGCTAGCAATTTTGTTCGCTCATCTCCATGAATATACCATGGCTATGCACCGTTTTCACTATTTACACACTGAAGTATTAGTCCATAGAGTACAACCTTTTGACAAGCATCATAGGTCTTTAGTCGCCAATTACTGTGTTATTCAGACACCAAAGTAGGCTCGCTTCAGCAATTGCAAAAAACACACAAATCAGATATAGGAACGTATCATGCTTTTCGGCAGATAGCTCTTAATACACACGTGATGCAGCCCTGCACATACCGCTTCACATGTACCCCATGTTAAAATGAAAAGCACTGAAGTGCAAACCCTCGGCGCATTGTGACGCGCACCCGTAAGCAAATGTATGCGCCATACCACTAATTGATGGGCTGGGTTTAGCTTTAGTCGTGGTCTCTTGCCAGAGTCTGACGCGGGCAAACTACACTACTAGATAGCATGCGAGAGGCGATACACGCCCTGTGTTGCATGCATCTTCTGGTGCCTCTGAGGTACGCAGGGCACGCGGATTGATTAGACCGTGATAAGATCCCGTCCGTTGTGTATTTGCATATTGGCTTTTTCGCGCTGTAGCTCTGCAACGGAGCAGTTTCAGAGAAAACCGCACATATTTTCTGACCTTCATTGCCAGTTAAGTAGGTTGTATCCTTTGTGAGACGAACAAACACCCGAGAAGTGAGATAGAAGTAACGGACACACAGACACACACACAGACCCAACTACCGTAACCTTCGCTGCGCATGCGCACCGAGGGTTAATCATACAAGCAAGAAGCCTCCTATCAAAGGTAAGTGTAACACTACTTTCCTATTCAAACATAGTGCATGCATGGCAACGGTTACTGTAGTTGCCATCAGTCCTTCTGTCTCTGTTTTTTCCACTTCTAGACTGAGGCAAATTCGTTTCTATAAACCACATATTATAGCCATTTTAAGTTTTTGAGAGAGGCCAGAACTATATCGTGTGGTGCATTGGAACCTTGTCTCCGACAAATGCAAGTCAAATTAGTAGTTTCCATTATAGGTACAAAATTTACCCTTCTCAGTCTAGGTCGAGATTGGAGAACCTTTTGAATTGCTATCCTTTCAGAAACACGTCCCAGTTCCAGACAAACTAGAATGCGAGCTGATAGGAGGACACTGTGAGCTGTGGAGTGGATTACACCTTTAATACGGTCTCGCTCATTAGAGAGGGGAAGAGTCTAGGTAGGTATGCATAGGAGGAAACACAGAGAGACACTATATATCAGTCTATCCATGGCAAAAGCCCATTTTCATCATCTTTCTATACAGTAGAACAATCCATAGCTCAACTAAGAAATCTACTGTAGTCTGACCTAAAAGAGAAACACAGGGTTTTAGCAACAAAAACGGCTAACTGTACTTTTGTTAAATCACTTATCCAGGCAGAGTACTACCTACCTACAGACAATGTCATAGTTTTAGAAGTCTCCTGCTAATTCTTGCTTCCATTTTTACAATTCAAGTGATTTATATGTAAATTTAATATGACATTCAAGGAACTATCACTAGTATAGTGCCTATTTCTAGCTAAGGGAACAAACCACCCACACCTTCCTTTACTGCCCCTTGTATGTGAATAGAACATTACCTTTCTCCATCGTTTGTGGGTCAAGCTTCAGTTCCTGAAATGCATCCTCTAGTTTCCCCTGGAGAGCACTGTTAGCTCCACTCAAGAACACATTGAACAGTCGTAATTTCTTGTCCTGAATGGTTTCGATGATCTCACTGGCCTTCTGTAAGAGTGATGTAGCAGTATCAGAGTCTCCTTGGAGGCAGGAAACTGTGGCGAGGTTTTGACACCGCAGAGCTGCCGCTACATAAAAAGGATAATTCCTTCATTGACAAATTTGTTTTATGCTCCAGGTATCATGGGTGGGGCATGAGCAAACTTACAAAATAATAGTTGTCAAACCTGTGTGATTACCCCCATTTTTTCACTCCAGACTCTTATGGGTGGGGCATGAGCGAGCTTAAAAATAGGCGTCAAAACTGTGTGATTATACTCTCATATGCGAATTCTTACTGTGCAATTCTACCTCTTATTCTCCTAGCATCATTTGCTGCATTTAGATCACTGCCCCCTAAAAAGCCAGCAAGAGAATGATTTGCTGCACCATTCAATGCCCAGCTAAGAAAATGGCCAAAGATCTCAGGTTCTTAAAGGAGTGAGCAGTCTACTCGGAGGCGTTTGATGAGAAGCTGAAGCAGCATAACAGCAATGTCTTCAGGAAATGTTGTTATGTGAAGGTAAAACATTACGTGTGCAGTATGTTACAGTCTTTGACTGAGGGCATGTAGCTAAGTGAAAATGGAGTTGTAGGTTTGCTTAACCTAATTCCAAGGCCATCTATAATATCGTTTTTTGACTTTGGGGTGTCAAAGGTCATACATACACAAATATTGCTCGCTGAGAAAGTACAAGACTATAGGCTTGCTCTTGCATACTTATTTACTGAATTGCATGTACAACTAACTAACTAGCATGTACAATTATGATGTGGCAGCTACATCATGAGTATAGTAGCTACGTGACAATACTGACCTCGATTGTGGTGTATATCAGGATAGGCGTTTATAAACTCAATGGCCTTAGAGGAGAACTTTTTGCTCTCTCTGATGTGGCCCAACAGGTGGTGAGAAACGCTCAGGCCTGTAAATGCTAGTCCGCTGTAAACACCAATGTCCCCAAAGAGCTGCCGTGAAATGGAGAGACTTTCCTCGAAGGCGGCAGTGGCTTCACGAGGCTGTTTAGAGTAGCAGTGGGCATGGCCCAAGGTAATAAGTGCTGTTGCCAGCTGCAAAAATCAAAGATATTATAAAAACCCTTGCAAGTTCAAATTTCCACACATAGAATCACATATATACAACATTGTGGTATTTGCAGTGCCTGTCATATATGAAAATCCCACATTCTGCACTTAATGGAGATGCCTTGCATAAGAGCCTGCAATGCAACTCTCTTACATTTCTCCTGTAAGATTTCATTGGTCGAAATATGGACACAGCTCGGCTCAGAATTGGCACACTTTCGTGAGTCTTGTCATCAACATTGATGAAGAGCTCTCCTAGACTGACCAAGATGTTCCCCACAGCCGGATGTTTGCTATCTTTCACTTCTTCCATTATAGCCAACGCTTGTCGTAAGTATTTCCTGCACATAAAATTGATGAGTAATTACGTAATTAAATCCCTCATCATGTATGTACTGAAAGTACTAAAGTGCAAACCCTCGGCGCAAGAAATGTGTGCACGTGTGCGCTGATGTGCACGATATTATTCGCATGCGGCCAGGCCATGCCAAGCAGTGTAACCTATGAATTGAACCAGTTTCTCGTTCTAACACAGGCTAAGCTGCATTAGTGGGTAGTGTTTAGAGCAACACTGGACTGGATACCCATCCCTCATGTAACTTCACCCCTCCATGTTGCACTGAGCCTGGTCGAGGTAAGCCAGTGCTGATTATTCATTTTGGCTTTTTCACTTGTTCTTGCGTCATATCTCTCATTAATGCAGTTGTTTCAGGAAAATCACCTATTAGGCTCGCGTAGTCTTAAAGCCATTGGTATCGCTTATAGGCCGTCTTGCAGCCTGTAGTGTGAGAGTAGCTGCAGACATACAGACACACACAGACCAAGTAAACCCACGCTGTGCATGCACGCCGAGGGTTAATTATAGTGATGGAAGACACTGTCAATTACCTATGAACAATGGAACGCAATGTGGATACGAATATGTAACACGTAACATGTACAATTACTTCCATACTCTGATTCTGTGTACTCCTCGTGTGGTGTCAGGCACCCTCCAATTCGGTGCAGTGCAACGGCCATCATGTAGTGGCTTTTGTCGCCATATCTGCTCCTCAGTGCCTCCAGGAGGGCCTGGAAATGTCTCTTTGCTTCATCAAGCATTCCTAGATGGCTACAAGAGAGGATTACGCAATCTACATGATGAACTTTGTTAGCAAGATCACAAAAATTGTCCTTTTCAGTGGTTAATGAAAGCACCAAATCAAAACAGGTGAGAGGTGTTCTTATTTGGATTGTCCTTTCTTAGGGGTTCCACTGTAGCTAAGATCTAGAGAGCTACATCACTGCGTATGGACTACTGTCTATATACACAATGTGTACGTCAAGACACACCTTCCTTCACATCACAGGATTCTTACTGTAAGGTTGTCAGGCTACACGTGACGGTATTAGTCCCACTACCTACATCTCCTGCTTGCCACAAATTCTATTTGATGCCCGCTTTGATACGTAGCAACATAAACCACACGGTTATCACACTAAAGGTGTGTCCATAACAATAGATTCACTTTTTTACCTGTAAGTGACTCCTAGATGCAACTTGGCCAAATGGGGTTGAGGTGATTGATTCAACTCTTCAGAACCCCTTTCAAGTACTTCCAGCGACGCTTCAAGTGCATATCGTGCCTTTGCCCTCTGTGCAATATTGAGATAAGCTGATCCAGAGGAGTAGTGGAGTTTGAACAGTGTGTCAGCATCATATACCATGTCAGCGTCCTGAGTAACAATTAGACATCACATCCATACCGTATAAGACATCACAAATCAATACAGCCTAATACTATGAGAAGTAAGCCTTAAAAATGTGTCTCTGATCCGTCTCCACTGATTTGAGGAAAACTAAGTTGCAAATCTGCCTGACTATTCTCACATGTAGAAAATATCATCCACGCTTTGTTGCCAACCTTCAATTGACGGAGTGATTCAATGTGGGGCAGTATTCGATGTTCAAACACCTTCAGTGGAGAGCCATCTGGAATGATCTCATCTAGGAGACAGTTGGCAAAGCGGCACAGCAATCTCTTCACTTCACTCCAAGTGTAGACTTGCGTTGAGTCGGGTGATGGGCCTACATACAAGAAATATCTGTGTTGGCATGGGATGTTTGAGTTAATGCTCACATCATCAAGCTCTGCTACAGTGTGACCTTTGTGTCATTTTGTTCTATAGCAACAGAGGCACCTAAAATCCATTATACTCTCAAAGTTGAACACAACTGAAAATGCATGGCCTACTATACTTTTGAAAGTTGCTACAGTTAAACTTTTTCTTACTCAACCAAAGTTGCATTGTGTATCTTAAAGGGGTTCTGATCACTTACCATATATGCTTCGAAGCTGGCTAGCAATCTTGAATTCGCCCATTTCTTCAAGTGCATAGATTAATTTCTTAAAGGATGCATCCAGGTCGGTTCTAAGCCATTGATCAAACATCACTCTCTTGCAGGACTTGTTGTTTCGTGGATAGTCATCTTGAATGACTTGAAGATCATAACTAGACAGTCCAAGCTTGAGGCCAAGTGAAAACCAGTGCAGAACTGGAATATTGATTAGCTGTGCAAGACTGGGACACTCTTTACACTTTCTGTCATCCGCTTGAGCTTTATCTGCGGTGCAAAAATGATATATGTGCAAGCACTATAAAGTAAAAACCTTTTTTACCACTAGATGGAGTCTTAATGAACATTTCCCTCAAAATATTCCAGGTCACTTCGTGTGTCTGCACCACTTCTATTTTATCGTCATCATTCTCCCAGTGAGAAAGGTGGAGGAGTACCGAGTCCCTTGTTTCCTGAATAGCTGCTGTCACCACGTCCAACGGTTCTCCCAGTACTCGAGATATCAGCCTCATTGGCATTGCAGCGTGGTCACAGCTACCAAGGAAGCAAAATACCTAAAAACACAAAAGGAGGGGGCAGAAAATCAACTAAATACATACGATTAATTGCAAGTGGCATATGAAACTTGAAATATCAGTGTCTAGTATTCTCCATACCTTATAAAGAGGTTTTTGTTGCAGAACACACATCATCAGTGCAGTGGTCAGTGTCCAGGGGTAATTACAGACCTGTTTGGTCTGCTGCTCAGCAAAGTCCCGGCGTGTCCTTTCCAAATCCCTCATGTACTGATGATAACTATAATTTCTTCCGTATGTATCCCTTTCCTTTAATATGTAACATCCAGCTCTGTAGATATTGAACAATATTATTCATGACCATAGTCCCTTGTTCAAATTATTTTGCCACGAGTTTGTATCACTTTTGCACTTACATATAGTTTCACCTTTATAGTCTTAGTATAGCCAATAGTAATCAGACTCTTTATCATTAACTTACGCAGCAATTGCGAGAGGAATCCCTTCTAGCTTTTCTGCAAGTTTGCTAGCCTCGGTCACATTATGAATCCCACTTATTCTAATCAAGAGTTGAGCTCCTTCACTCTCCGTAAAGCCATGATCCAGGGTGTACCAGTTACAGAACAGGCTGCCCGCTTTTTCAACCAAAGCACCCTCCTTTGTGGTTACAACCACCTGACCACACCCCCAGTCTGTATCACCTGACTGGGGAAGGTATGTAACATCAGTCCCACTACCTCCTGCACAAATCAGGGATAGAGAAACTATCACTGCTTACCTTACCCATGCACAGTCACATACTCCTTACGTACTATACCTTTCAAATCAGAGGTAAGATTGTCTATAATCAAAAGCCACTTTTGCTTCTTCCGTAACTCAAACTTCACAGCACTGGATACCATCTGAAGGCCTCTGTCAAGTCTCTCCTCAACTGGTAACTCTCTAACATCAGCCTTGATGCCAAGATGGGCTGCCAGACGAATGTACGATGCCAAAAGCTCTGGTTTTGTTGAGGCATTAAGCGTGCTTATCAGTACATCTTGTCGATGCTGCATAAATGAAAAACTCAAACCCTCCGAGCACTAGAAACACACATTATACACACTGCAACACCTATACGCGTGCCACCGCTAATTGATGGGCTGGACTATGCTGTATATAAGTCGTCATTCATCTCTCACTAGCTTGCTGAGTGGTAAGCTGCACTAGCACGCGGGACTCGATATTTGCCCATTGCAATTTTTAAAACATTGTTCTGGTCAACTTCACATCGACTGACTGACTGACTGACTGTTGCAGAATGACATGCCAAACCATAACCCTCCCTAAAAACCTATGGCTAAATATTGCTCTTATTTCCGTAGGTAGCTGTTGCATATAGCATGATGCAAACTGTCAGTTAACCTATTACGCTTTGTGGAACACCTGGTGTGACCACCCAGCGTACAGTATGCTAATGCGCATGGTTGGCCACGATGGCTATGATGACTCTGTTGGTCAAGATAGCAGGTGTGGCCCTTGGGTGGAGTCAGACCCCTGCCGACATGGTGTGAGCGGTGATACAGTGCGTGATTAGCCCAACAGGCTAATCAGCACCTATTTTTTACACCTGATAAAAATCCATGTCCACACTGACTCCACCTATCACACTGAAGGCTGCGCTCCAGTGGAGGTTGCTCATGCCATTAACGGGTGGGTTATTAGGGGTGGGAAGAAAGCTGCTCAGTTGCTGGCGGGAGAGCCACGCGTACAAAATGGGAGCTTGCGCATGCTCAGTTGCTTTGACGAACAACCCCTCCCCCTGCTGTACAGGTATATACAACCCTACGCATGCTCATACCCGAGGCCAGACTCACGCCGTGAACACCACCACACAGCGCCATGAAAACCGCGTGATGCCATCGCTCATATGTTAACTCCGTTTAATGGGGCATTAAACTCCATTGCAAAAGGACTTGTGCAGCGTTTGAGCATATTGCAATTGCGAAAAACCCAAACACATAATTCTAGCAATTTTGCTGGCTACAGTCACGTTATAGGGCCATATATACACTATGTGTCTGTTATTATAGCTAGCTAGTACAGTATTCAGCCAGTGGCAAAAAGTGCTGCCAAGTGTGGAGCAACTAAACATGCTAAGAACACATCTTTGTCACATATTCCACTTGGTAGGTTAATGCTACCAGATGTATTATTATTTTGAAGGTCTATTACTTACATGGCGAATAGAAAAGTCCTCGGCGTATTGACGTGCGAGTTGCGTTTTACCAAAACCGGGAGGTCCTTCTACGTAAACCACCGCAACAGAACACGGCGAATCCTGCTGAAGTCTTGTGAACAGTGACCGAATCTCACGGACAAGAGAAGAGCGTGCATGAACTTGATGCTTAGGACGAGGAGGAAGATCCAAGATGGTCTTCTTTCTCGCGTGTGCCACCCAAGACACAGATCGTCTGCAGAAGAATACTGCGAAGCTCAGTAGGCCCACGATGACCACAATTGCAATTCCGCCAACAGACACGACATCAGAGTACTGCATGGCTGCATAGCCCAGTCTGCTCCACCCGTATACGTAAAATAGCGCCCGTTTGGGGAATTCCTCGGGAATTTCCCTATTTGCTGAATCACTCCGGAACCGCCCACGTAATTATATCGCCTAATAGCCCGCCCATCAATTAGCGGTATCGTGCATGCGCAGTTCTCCGAGGGTTTGCACTTTAGTGCCTTTTTTAAATGATGGGGCTTGCTGGGGATTAGCTAGAATGCTGCCTAGCTGGCTCTGCAATTAGTGTGCAACGCAGTCACGATGCAATCTCCGTAATCGCAAGGATTATCTGGAGTTTGAGCATCAGCAGCCCATTAGCTACTGCTTTCAACAGTTAGAGTTTGTCCATGGTCAACCTCTCTACAACATACCCATGAACATCAGGGTGACTGAAATGCAGTGTTGTCATAAAGCCGTTAAAAAATTGTGGAAACAAGTGGAATCAAACTGAAGGGGGATAGCTATAGGGATGGCTTGAAGCACCAAAAAGGAAGAAACAAGGGGTCATTACACAGCAAAGATGCACAAAGCTACATGACACCATCCCTATATCTTTGTTTTATTGTTCATAAGCAAAGTTTAATTTGAGACAAAGATATAGGGATGGTGTCATGTAGCTTTGTGCATCTTTGCTGTAATGATCCCTTGTTTCTTCCTTTTTGGTGCTTCAAGCCATCCCTATATACCCCTTAATTTTGAAGAAACGATTTTTCCACTTGTTAAAATATGAACTGGATTCCTGTTGGTTATTTCAATCTCATGCTGTATTACTTCTTTTCGCCCCCTCTTTCTGCTGTCAAGATTCAAGACTTGAAGATATTATCGACTCTCCCCATTTGGTGATGCTGCTCAAGAAGTTAACATCTAAGAATGATGGATGTCACCTCATGAAGAAGAAGGGGAACAAGACGGCAATGCCCATTAACTAGTAGTGTACAGCGCTAGCGCTGTGCCGAGGGTTTTGCACTTCAGTGCTTTACATTGCACTATCAGGAAGATGTGTAGTTTTTGTAAGTTATGGCAATTTGCTGTTGTGGTCTGTTGCACAAGTTTTATCTGTGCTTGGTAGCTAGGTGCTAGGTGCTAGTTGATGGAACTGGGAATGGGGATGCATAATATAGGGGGTGAGTTGTGGGGACTGTTGGTGGAGCCTGTAGGGATATGTGTCATAATACAGGCTAGTGCAGATACTGGGCATGTGTACATAGGGAGCACACGTATATTATTATTCTTAGCTGTGCTTGAGTCGTGCTGGCTCAAAAGCCTAATTCTGTGTAGAAGCGTGACCCCAAACTCTATAGGTGAACTTTCATTCTCCATGTCATCACTATTCATTGTGTCACACACATAATTCTTAGCTAAAACCACCTATACAGTGCAGAAATACACACTAAACGGGTATTAGCTCAGTCATTTGTATCGTTTCCAGTAGCTAACTCGTCTCTGACTTCAGTTAATATTTCACCCAGCAGATTCTTTCCTAGCAGTATATACAGATATACATTATTAACAAAAAAAGCTGTAGCTAAAATTATACCTCTCCAATACTTTCTGTTTTGGGCTTTCCAGCTCTTTGCAGAGAGTCCAATACCCCACATGGTGTCTCTGGGACCAGTCTCCACCGGAGTGGTTCCCTTGGTCTGTAGCAGCTCTGCTCTCAAATCAGAATTCTGTGAGAACTGGACATCCAGCAGCATGCACATGTAAATATAGAGCAAGTGAGAGAGAAATGTGCTAAGAATGTAGCCGGAGGATATAGCGGGGTTTTTAAGAGGGGGTTTACATTGGGCTTTGCTGAGGCGTTTGCCATGGTTGCTAGTGACCTTGGCTAAATTGCCTTTTTTGACAATCTTTCTGCAGTTTTTCTTCCAAGTTTCGTCGCTGAAGTTGCTGACTTTCCTCCCGAGAGCCTTCTGTTCTCGTGGGTCGTCACTGGCCATGATTTTAGCAGCCACACTCTCGTCTGCAAACAGCACTGTAGGAAACATTATAATTACAGCTATATACAGACATTGAAGGTCTCGTTCATCTAAAAGTTGCATCTATAATAGTGCATGGCTGCCTGCCACATTTACATCGGAAGGATATTACACAAGAGTATGCATGGCTTTAAGAGGGATGCAGCTATTATAATAGTTGACCAAACAAGTTGACCAAACATTAACATGTGAACCTCCATCGTAGCTACATAGCTACAATCCTTCTGTCTGTAATTCAGTTATCCACAACCTACCAGTCTACTATTCTTAAATCGCAACTTCTATGGTTCAATTTTGGATTTGCCTATTATAGGTAGGCATAATCAATTTTTCTGTATGTACAATGTCATAGAAAATATGTGCCTTTGCTGGGCAGATGCAGAATGGACGCTCATGGTTTTCAATACCCTGGTTGCTATGACACCTTGCATATCTTCATAAGTGTAGAGTTGTAATAGACGGTGGCCACAACTAGATCAAGGTTTTCGCGCTGGTGTCATTATGAAGCAAGAAACAGAATTTATCCCCTATTATTTCCCAGCCAAATAGTACCGCTATGGCAGCTGTCTAGTTATACTCTTTGGCTGGTAATTGGGCTATAATTATTATTCTGTTTCTTGCTTCACAAAGGACACCAGCGCGAGAACCTTGATCTCTGTGTTGGTTGTGGCATACTTAATGCCGCATAGCTACCCAAACCCATGGGCACAGAATGTCAGATCTACCTGTAAGTGTTCAATGCATACTCGCGAAAATGAAATGGTCGACCCTATACTAAGAGCTAGCAGCATTGCGCGTCCGCTCTTGTATCGGTGTGGACGACGAGAGTCGACTCACCGCATTGTCGTCGCACCGCTCTCAACCCGTCGTACCCCCCTATGCAGCCGTTTGTGTTACAGAACAGGCGACGTTCTTCGACGTTCATTTTTGCGTCGCACGAGCGCTACGGATCAGCGTGTTAGAGAATACTGTGTATAGCTAGGTGACTAACCAGCCTTTTGGGACATCATGTACTGCTCGGCACAGTTGTACTCGACACCGTCCACTGTGAAGACGGCGGGGTGCCATTGACTGAAAGGAGACTCGGCTCCGAAAAAGAAGGTAAATTTTTCGCCCGTTTCAGGAACTGGGGTAGTGTCTGCCCCCTGCTTTCATCGGTCTTTTCTACCGCCATTTCTCTTTGCCTGCCAATTCAGAGCGCTGTCTGACGTTCATGCGCGATATTACACGTCAGCTAACGTCGTTCTACGTAGTGTTTTGAAAGTAGATTTCCGCATTCTTCAGAGGTGGGCCCGCTATAGTGACGTGTGATTTCGAACGGTAACCTCCTAAGTAGTGGCAAATCGCTGACCATGTGCATGTATAATGGCTCCCCACGTATTATAGTAGCTATAACATTGATAGTAGCTAAGTAGCAGAAACAGCTCCATCATTACAATGGCAGCACCACAAAATTGTTGCGAAATTGTCCTCAGCTGAGGTGAAATCCACGTCGTTGCCAATTCGGACGAAAGCGAAACGTGCGCATCGTGCAATTTCCCGCGTACTCGTAGCTACGTACGTAAGTATAATTATACGCACTTGCTGTAGCACTACAAAGCGGGATTTTTAGTGAAAAACTACCAATTCTGTGCACTTAGCCATCCTTGAGTTCTTTCACCTCGGTGGTTGGTGAGACCTTTATTGACTACAACAAAAATGGCTACTGAAACCGCTTGGACTTGGAAGACACGTAAGGGTTGTGCCGTTGTAATAATAATAAACAGCAATCTCCCATAGTAATCTTGTAAGAAAGCTGCGTTAGCTACATGTATTGTTTATAGGCCTAGTGCGCAGTACACAGAATCCTGTTCAGTCTGTCCAATGGTGCCTGGGGGTAGCTAGTTTGTGTTGTGTATTTAGGCCAAGATGTGGCGGGTTTGAATCCCACAGGCATGGACCCTTTCTTTTCCCTCTCTTTCTCTTCATGGAAAAACTGTTCATTACAATGAACTCTTTAAGCGGAACACTCTCTACGTGTGAGGGATGATAGCTCACCGCTGAATGACACAATCTTGAGCCTAGCACTCATGTGAGCTATAATCCATGCTAGAGTAGAGAAGTGTTCCGCTTAAAGAGTTTCAGGAGTGCCAGATCTTGAACTACCCTGAGAGTCGTTTGACTCGAACATTTGAAGCCGGGTTCAACTGACTTTGAGACCCAAGCACACTTTGTAAAGGCCAAGCCGACTTGGAAACTCAAACAGTCAGTTTCAAAGTTCAATGCTACTGATATGTGCACACCGGTTCCAGCATCAAGTGACTTCGAAACCCAAACAACTTCAATGCTACAACTGCAAGGGTGAAGTCAGCTTGGGTTTTGAAGTTGGAATAACCAGTTGGCTAAAATTTCAAAGGCATCACCTTGCAAATTGAAGTCTTCCGAACTCGGCTTGAGTTTCAAAGTGACTTTGAGTCAGATTTTGAAGTCAGTGTGGCACTCCGATGCCAACTTCCGACACTGCCAAATTAGGCAGGTGTGTTTTGGTTTTTGTTCAAAAGTGGCCTTCCCCAACAACTGTCCTGCCTTCCCGCTTCCCCTGGCTTGTTTATGCTCTTGAGTTTCAGCTACGAGAGATTGAAGTTGGTATATAGAAGCCAGAAGTCCCAAATAACCTTGCCATGACCCTGCAGTGGTTCAGGACATGGAGTAAAGACTGCAGGTGTTCTTTATACAGGGGGCAGGTATCTCTTGTCATTCTCACCACACCTGTTGTGGATGGCATTGGTGGGTAGCTAGTAGTACAAACTTCATGGGCTCTGGCCTTGTACTGCCTTCACCCACAGCTCAGGTGAGGTCTTTTCCCATCAACTGGCGCACCCTGCCTTTTGGAGCCAGCACAAGTCCTGGTTCCTCTTGTAAGTGATGGTGTTATGTTGATGATCTCCAGACAGAATTAAGTGGGTGTGTTTTAGTTTTGGTAGGTTTCGGTCAAGAGTGGCCTTCCCCAACAACTGTTTCTAGTTTTTGGCTTGTTTATGCTCTTGAGCTTCAGCTACGAGAGATGGTAGAGGCCAGAAGCCCCCCAGAACCTGGGGTATACCTCTTAAAGATAAGGCTGAGGTAAACACCCATGACTGTTTACCCGAGCTGTGACACATGCAATTCACCAACAAAGCAGCATGTCTCATTAATATTGACATTCAAATGCTCCCTTTGTCACCACTTTTACATCGGCTCTAGGGAGTTGTGTATTAGTTTGTACATCATTTGTACTATGCATCATTAATATTCCCGGGAGAGTATTTTATTTTGTCTAAACCTGGTGGTTGTTACATGTAGCTACACAAATGGGAAAGTTATAATCTTATCTGCCACTTTTCTAAAAATTTTTCTAAGCCATGAAGCTATGTGCATAGCCTTGTTCTTACTTGTACAAGTGGAAAAATCATTTCTTCAAAATGAAAGTGGGATATAGGGATGACTTGAAGCACCAAAAAGGAAGAAACAAGGGGTCATTACACACCAAATATGCACAAAGCCACATGACACCATCCCTATATCTTTGTCTCATATTAAACTTTGCTTATGAACAATAAAACAAAGATATAGGGATGGTGTCATGTGGCTTTGTGCATATTTGGTGTGTAATGACCCCTTGTTTCTTCCTTTTTGGTGCTTCAAGTCATCCCTATATCCCACTTTCATTTTGAAGAAATGATTTTTCCACTTGTTTCCACTATTTTTAACAGCTTATGACAACACTGCATTTTCAGTCACTTTGATGTTCATGGCTATGTTGTAGAGATAACTGTTGAAAGCAGAAGCTATAATGGACTGCTCTTACCTGAAGCAGGGTGTATGCGTAGTGTCTCCAACAAGGACGCGATTAGGTTGTGGCACATATGGTGGTGGTTTCATTGGGCAGGCTTCAGAAATCAGACTACAATGATAGCTATAACCTGGGGAACAAAGAATGAAGGCGCTGGGCAAGGCACGCGTAACACGGCGCAGATTGCCAAGTTGCTCCTCGTGCAAATCAACAGCAAAACGCAAGCTAGCCAGTTACAAATGTGTACACTGACTTACAGAAGGCACTGGAGGATGAGAGTAGTTTTCTCTGCAGGCATCCAGTCCTGGCTTAGTCTCGTTCGTGGACCAGGTTTACGAGACAAAATGCGCGGGCACCGCATTGGAAACGCCCTCCTCTGCGCATGCGGCTCACTGATGCTGAGTTAGCGTTGTTCAGTGACTACCGAGGAAGAGCTCAACGATCTACAAAACACAATACAATGTTTTAAAAAAATGGCAAGGGGCAAATATCGACCTTCGTGCTTATTGCAGCTTTACCACTCAGGCAAGCTGCT